CAGGCAAGATTAGGTGCCTTTTCTATGAGGTCCCACCACCATGCCCTGTGTAATGAATAAGTCTGTGTTTTCTTCCTTAGGCTGCAAACCTCTCAAGGGCAGGGATAGTATTCCTCTCTATAGCCCAATGCCTAGCACATGATATGTGTCCTGCAAATGTTTGTTCCATTAATAAATGAATAAATTAGAGATGTTAATGCCCTTTTAGGGCCTGGACTAAGAATTACCATGATAGCTGAGTCTCTATTTTCCTGGCAGTTTCTATAAGTGAACATCCTCACATTCGAACCTTGAGGTAGGCGTGAGCACTAGAATTCCCCCTTTCTCACTTTAAAAATTCCTTCATCTGTGAATTTGTAGCCCTTTAGACCTGGTAGCCAACAAAAAACCCTCCCTTTAAGGCATCTGGTCCCCAGCAGAAAGGACTAGATTGACTTGCTGCTTTTCTTTGTGAATCTACTTCACGATGGGGCTTTAAAACCATTCAGGAAAAATAGAAACAGACCAGGCACTTGGCTGGGATTGTTGAACCTGTGAGCCTAGCCCTGAAATCTCTTGCTTCTCGTCTTCCTATTTAAAAAGAGAATGCATGCCTATTTGGGGTGGGAAAATTATAGGAAATATTTTGATGACCTGCCCTATGAAGTAGATACAATTGTTTTGCAGATGTGGAAACTGAGACACAGTTTCTTTATTACATAGGTGGTAAGGGATGGGGGCAAGATTCTAACGTAAACAGTCTAACTCTAGCATCTGTGATCTCAACCACTGCACTGTAGTAATATTTGATGGACAGATTAATGAATTAATAAATGCAGTGGAAAGTATTGTGGGTTGAAGGGCTGTCTATGCTGGATCAGGATCCCAAAATCTGATTTTAGTCCTAACTGGGATAGCCATTCCGACTCCTTCCATGTCACCTGAACGACTGGGGCAGAGGGTGTGTGAGTTGGCAGGCATGAGGTTCCTCCTTTTCAGCCAAAAGCAGCCTGCCTCAGTTGCATGAAACCCAAACTTCTGTGAATGGAGTGGAAGGTTTCTCCCAAGTAACAGGTCGTGTGAGAGAAAGGCTCCTAGAACAGAGAAGCAATCTAAAGAGACGACTGGGTCGGGGAGGGTCAGAGAGAGAACAATCCCCAAAGGGGCCTTTCCAAATAGGCTGTAGCTCTTTAAAAAATTATTTGTTCTTCCCAATGAAAGTTCCATCTCCAAGAAGCCACACATCAGAACACTCATGGGGTGGGGAGGGCCAGCTGTGAGCTTCTTCTAGTGTGTTGAGTGTGCGTTACATTTTAGGCTCTTGTCTCATTTTGGCCACTAACTCATGGAGTGATCTTGAACACTGCTATGCAACCATAGTTCTCTTATCTGCAAAATGGGAAAAATAATACTGGCTGAAAGCAGGAGGTTTAGCTGGGCTGAATGATTTCTTAAGGCCTCTTTCAGCACTGGGATGTATGACTCTAGAACATACATCTGTATGTATGTAGCTTTCAACATTTATCCCTTATTTTGCCTTTTGAATCTCCAAATCTATACTCCTATTTTTTCTTTGTAATAAAATGATTTATATTGCTTTGGGTATATACCCAGTAATGGGATTGCTGGGCCAAATGGTATTTCTGGTTCTAGATCTTTGAGATATCACCACACTGTCTTCTGCAATGGTTGAACTAACTTACATTCCCACCAACAGTGTAAAAGCATTCCTATTTCTCCACAGCCTCACCAGCATCTGTTGTTTCTTGACTTTTTAATAATTGCCATTCTGACTGGTGTGAGATGGTATCTCATCGTAGTTTTGATTTGCATTTATGAATTGAGTTGTTCTCTTGGGTCTGTGGCACTACACAATGGGCAGCCCATAATAGTGGGTAAAACTGTGGGCTCTGGAATCCATACAGACTCTGGCCCAGATCTTAATCAGTATGACCGTTGCCAAGTAACAAAACCACCCTGTGCCATAGTTTACTTGCCTATAACAAGTATATAACAAGATGTCTACTTCATATATTATAGTGAGCTCTACTTCAGATTATTGTGATGAGCTCTATTTCACAAATTACTATTTCTTTTTCTTTTTGAGACGAAGTCTTGCTGTGTCACCCAGGTTGGAGTACAGTGGCATAATCTCAGCTCACCGCAACCCCTGCCTCCTGGGTTCCAGTGATTCTCCTGGCTTAGCCTCCCGAGTAGCTGGGATTACAGGCGCATGCCACTAGGCCCAGCAAAAAAAATTTTTTTCGGTAGAGAAGGGGTTTCACCACGTTTACCAAGCTGGTCTCAAACTCCTGACCTCAGGTGATCCACCCACCTCGGCCTCCCAGAGTGCTGGGATTATAGGCATGAGCCACTGCACCTGGCCACAGATTATTGTTTCTAATAAGAATGTTAAATATTCTAGAAAAAAAACATGGCATGTAATGAACACTCAATGGACACTGGCTTGGCCTTTGGATCAGTGACCAGCTCAATGAGGAGCTGCTGATACACTGTCTGTCCTTTCTGGGATCAGCCTACAGGTGCAAAAACATGGCTCATATTTCCTGAAGACATGACTGCATTCTTAGTTTGGGCATAAGTGACTTCCCAAATCAGGATGGAAGATCAAGGCCACAGTTAATATAGGAAGAGGATACATGATGTTCTGGCCAGGAGATGAAAAGGTAGCCACTTCAGCTCTCATAATTAGCCATTTCCATAACCTTTCTCTGCCTTCATTCCTCTCTTTTCCTGCCCCCATCCTTTTCTCCCTCCAATGGGAACTCATCACTGTAGACTGCCTAAGCAGAAGGGCTTAACTCCATTTGTGGACATGATGCTCCCCCTTCCCTAATAACCACTATTATTTATTTATTTATTTATTTGAGACGGAGTCTCTCTGTCGCCCAGGCTGGAGTGCAGTGGCACGATCTCGGCTCACTGCAAGCTCCGCCTCCCGGGTTCATGCCATTCTCCTGCCTCAGCCTCCAGCGTAGCTGGGACTACAGGCGGCTGCCACCATACCTGGCTACTTTTTTTGTATTTTTAGTAGAGACGGGGTTTCACCGTATTAATCAGGATGGTCTCGATCTCCTGACCTCGTTATCTGCCTGCCTCAGCCTCCCAAAGTGCTGGGATTACAGGCGTGAGCCACGGTGCCCAGCCCTATCTTCTTATGAAAGTGTTCATTTCAGCTCGCAGAAGAAACACATGGTCCTGAGACTGTAAAGTTGCCTTCTATCAGTGGCAACAGACATCCTGATAGGCCAAAGGTGCAATCATCTCCCCTGGTCCCATAACTGTATTGAATATCCCCATAATGCACTTCTAAAATCCAAGAGAAGCAAGATTTCTGTAGCAAACCTGGATTTAGGGCAAGTGGGCTATTTCAGCACTTTGCAGCACTTGTAGCGTCCAGAAATTGTTGATACTGACTTACTACAAGGTAGGAAGTAGTCTGCAAAAGGGTGCAATTTGGGAGGCCGTACTTCAATAAATGGAGTAAAGAGTATTTTCAGGTCTTTGTAATGCAACGATAACATTTGATAATATGTGTGTGTAAGTGGACAGGAAATGTGGATGAACAGTCAATGTGAGTATAGGTTGAAATAGGAAAATCAGTAACCAAAAACTGGAAAGGGCGGGAGAAGGGGCCTCAGAGATACAGAGGCAGGGTTCCTCAGAACTTACACTTCTCTACCTTGCCCAGAACATACCTCTGCATTGAGCTGACCACGGACGAGTCTGGCTAGGAAATCTCTACGTTACCTGGAAGAAGTCAATAGGGAGTACTGACACCAGCCCCTTCCCATCCCACCTCAGGCCCTCCTGGGAATGAAGAAATCATAAGAGAATAAGGAAAAGTTTAGGCCTCTGGGAGTCTAGGGCATTTTTCCTTCCTTTCTCTTGTTCATATCTCATTTTTCAACTGGCGTTATCTTCTAGGGAGGCATCTTTGGCCCTGGAGAACTCAAAAGAGCCAGAGTGGATCCCAGAAGAGAGGATGCACAGTGTTAAACTTTGGTTCTAACAAAGGCCTGGAGGACAACTGCAAACAGAACCTTCTTTTAAGGTGGTTCAATTCGGTTCTCCAGAGAAAAATTATGCAGGGATTCTGGGCAGGACTGTCTTGTGCCTATAAGTGTACTCTATCTCTTGAGAACCAGAGAGTGGCAGACTGGGCACAGAAGGACAAAGTCCAACAGAGCCAAGCCTTTCCTCTGGGGCCTAGATGGGCAGGAGTTCTGATTTTTTTTTTTCCCAATAACCCCCAAGATCCTATTACACAGAATAAGATCAAGCTCAAGTGGAATTTTCTATCATTTCATTTTTAATTGTCCCATTCTTGTGTCCTTCTTCCCTCAATGGTAAGAACTCATTTAAAAGTTACCAATGGCATAAGACTAAAATTAGTACTGTAGAGAAGATGGGATGTTGCTGAAGCTCTTCTGCTGGGGTCAGCTTGGTCAGTATCACTCATTGTCACAAATGTTACCAATTTTCCGGTTAAAAGGTTCTGTTTTGGGCCTTAGCTTTAGCCTATTGTTAATAAACTGCTTGTTTCAAGTAAAAACGTGTTATTTGTTTTCTTGAACACTTTATGATGCCAAAGAAAATAGTAGGTAGTGTGTTCTGCTTTAAGCAAACCCAATATGTGAATGCTTGGATTTACATATAAAGTAGGGGCAGATATTGACAAAATGCTTCAACATAATTCTTTATGTAACAAGCTTTTCTGGTGCATTTTGAAACAATTTATGGCCAGTTTTTCAGAACACATCAGTCACATTAATCAGTTCACACCTGCCTCACTGTCACATACATGGGAGTTTGCTGTCTGAATGCAGGTATATTTCCTTAAAGGATCCTCTGGTCAAAGGTATTACAACCAATGGGAACAAGAACAAAATAGATGTTCCTGAAGCATTCCTTTCTACTCAGCTTCCACCGAAGTGATACTGAAGCTACTTGGATAATTCTTTTCCTAAGGTAGGAATACAGTTTTGTTGGACACAAAGTGAGGCAATAGGAAACATTTTTTTAATGAACAAACAACTTTCACACAAACTGTCTGTATCACATTGTTATTACAACATAGATGAGCTGAAACGTTTTTGTACAGATTTGGAGGAAGGGAATCCTAAAAAGAAATAAAGCATATAGAGGTAGTTGAATAGCAATATGGGGGGAAAAAAAAGCATTATCTTATATTTCCCTTCAGTTCGTTACAGTGCAAGAGTAAAATGGCTGCTTACCAAACAAATGGAAAACACACACACATTTGCCACTGTTTATGTGGCTTGCTTGATATTTTAATCCTGGCATTACTTACAACTGCATAAGATGATGGAACTAGTTTATCTAAAATAAGCCTATGGTGCCACATTGACCTATTAACTTTCCTTTTATTCCATTATTAGTGTTGCTTTAACAATAGATAAATGTTAATCGACTTTTAAAATTATGCATTAGCTACAGTGTTGCTTTGTAAACTTCTGTTAAATCACGTTTGCTGCAAAAACATTTTAAACAACAGCTACAGAGTCATGAAGCAAAAGCTTTAAAGTGACACCAGGAACAGAGATTACAGGCACTTCTCTCTGGAGGTTAACTTAGCATGTTTGGAAATACACTTTTGTAAGTGAAAATTTCTTCATTTCACCTCTGGATGTGTGTAATCCAGATTATTAAATAGTTGTACAGTGTAATAAGGTGGGAGCTATCATTCTAAGATGAATTGAATGTGTACATTTTATGTGGCTCCTTTTCCTTCCTTCTCTTTGAACTCAGAACGGGCACAAATTGAAGCCCATGCTGCCAGCTGCTTTTTAGAACTGTCTTCTATCATAAATCAAAACCTCATTTCTCAGCTTCAAGAATGGGCTGAAAATCTTCCTTTTTCCATTGTTTGGGCTGCCCTCCATTTGCATCTTTGTCACACACCACTGTTATGGTTCTGCCTTGGTGAGCAGTAATGGATGCAAAGTCAATATATTGGGAACTCAAGGAATGAGTCCCTGAATAAAATTCCCATCTTGGAAATGGAGTTGGTGTGGGGAACACAGACAGATTGCAGTCTGTCAACAGTATGCAATCTGTTTACTGTAAGAGACCTCTGGATGCTGTGAACAAGCCTTAGGAGCTGCACCGCTCCAATGGCCAGTCACAGGGGATTATCTGAGCCCAGGTCAGCTCCACAGGTAAGAGCTGGAAGCGCCACATGCGCAATGACTCGGCTTGCCCCTTGCTGCCTAGGCAGCACTGGGCTAGAAGCAGCTGGCCTTCAGAAAAGGCAAACTTTAAAAATAGTCATTCTCTGCCCCGCTAAGTCAGGGGCAGGCACTCTTTTCTCCAAGTTGTCTACAGAAAATTGGTTTTTTATTTTCTACATTTTGCTGGTTATTTGCTAGCAGCAGTAGTACAGTACAAAGCAGAAAGGCATGATGTCCGCTTGCTACCTTGTGTGTGTGTGTATATACACACACACACACACACGAAGACATATATACATACATACAAAAAATAACCAAAAAATAACCTACTAGGCAAAAGACTGGGTCAGTCATGACAGACAAAAAAACTAACCAAATAAGTGGCACTATCTACCGTGGGGGAAGTCTTATTTTTCTGGCCTAGATTTAGCTTTATGTCTTTCTTCTAGATATCCTTCATTCCCAAGCTGTGCAGCAAAACCAATTTCCCAGTGTAAAAATGGTCAAGACCAATTGATTACCTCGTTAAGGTACATCCCAAAGAAAGCCAAAGCTTAGCCTTGCATCCTGCCTTGCAACTAGACAAAGCATTCAACATAGTGGAGGCTCAGTTTTGTCATTCATAATATAGGGATATAACTGCTCTCGCAGGGTTGATATGAGAAATAAATGATTTAATGAGCTCAGGTATGTGAGATCACTTGGCTCAGTACCCGGTACATGGGGATCTCAGCACATTTTTGTTGAATCTGTTACTTTGGGCAACATAAAGAAATACTACAACTAAGCACAGAAGTCACAGATTGTAAACTCTAATCATCTGGGATGGGTAAGGTTCTCAATATATTTTGGAGAACAGGGAGTGGTAAGTTGGTTATTCTAATTGAGCTAGAACTTAAGGCTTCCATTCTATCAGAAATCCTACACTGGGCGCGGTGGCTCACACTCACACCCGTAGTCCCAGCACTTTGGGAGGCCCAGGCAGGTGGATTACCGGAGGTCAGGAGTTTGAGACTAGCCTGGCCAACATGGTGAAACCCCATCTCTACTAAAACTACAAAAATTAGCCAGTCATGGTGGTGCGTGCCTATAATCCGAGCTACTTGGGGGGCTGAGGCAGGGGAATCACTTGAACCTGGGAGGCAGAGGTTGCAGTGAGCTGAAATCGAGCCATCGCACTCCAGCCTGGGTGACAAAGAGTGAGACTTGGACTCTCTCTCTCACACACACACACACAAAAGAAATCCCAGACCTACAAACGGCACTACCTTTTAGCCCTTATTGAAGCGGGAAAAAAATTTCTGGTATACGATTGATCGCTATCTCTGACCCTCATTTGTTCTCCAGTCATTTCACTTTCACACAGATTTAATTCCCAAAAGAATTATCTGTAAATCATCAAATTATGGGTCCAAAAATCAGTGGTATGTATTCCCCCAAGTAAGTTTAAAGGGGTTTTAAGTGGATATTGTGTGTAAAGGCAGCGTTTTATACAAATGTAGGCCCTTGATGATATTCTATAACTATGACTAATCTAATAGTAGGTATTATTTCTTGAATGCATTCTAGGTGTGAGACACTGTGCTAACTGATTTACACGTTATCTCATTTAATTTTTGTAACAACCCTATATGCAGAACTTATCACTATCATTTCATAGATTAGAAAACTGGGGCTTGGCAAAAGTTAAATCAATTGCCAAAAGTAATATATCTAATAAGTAGAGAAGCTCAGGGCCCTTGTCTTTGTTGCATTTACACTAGATAATAAGAAACTATTAGGATTGTGTTATGACCAGATGGTCTGAGAATCGGGGGGAGGGGGAGTCTTTTCTGCTCCCTGAGCCTTGCAGAGTTTGCTTGGGCAGAAATCATGCCTATACTTCCATCTATTTCTGTTCTTCACCTGCCCAGACTAGCTGCAAACATCAAATCTGATAAACACAATGCTCTGGCGACAATGTCCATTAAGTGAGTGCTGCAAAGACCATCTGGTTTCTGCTTACATGTATCTTTTTTATGTCGTCTGGATCATCTCATTCTCCCTTTCCTGTTTCTAGCTACAGGTGGTGATGGGAGAAGTAAGAATTACCCTTCTCACCTTAACAGAGCAATGAGCTGTGAGTGAATGATGCAAAAATCATTCGCTATCCAAAATCACATGGTATGATTTGCATGAAAGTACTAATGGCACAATTCACTTCCTCCCTGCTCTAATCGTTTCACTCTGCCATTATAACACTCCCATACTCGTGGTACTTTACAGGCTGTCCTGCCACTGAAGGACTCAAACTAGCACTAAGCAAGCTAAATCAGGGCTTACTCTTACTTCTCACCCTGTATTCTTCCCCTACATTGAAATATTTCACCCATGCAACTAGAAGCAAAGGCAGTACTTAGATAAAATAATAGATTATCTGGCTCCCCCCCACCTTTTATTTTTTTTTTCGAGATGCAGGTTTGCTCGTCGCCCAGGCTGGAGTGCAATGGTGCAATCTTGGCTCACTGCAACTTCCATCTCCCGGGTTCATGTGGTTCTCCTGCCTCAGGCTCCCAAGTAGCTGGGATTACAGGCATGCACCACCACGCCTGGCTAATTTTGTATTTTCAGTAGAGACAGGGTTTCACCATGTTAGTCAGGCTGGTCTCGAACTCCTGACCTCAAGTGATCCACCTGCCTCAGCCTCCCAAAGTGCTGGGATTACAGACATGAGCCACTGGGCCCAGCCGTCTGGTTCCTTTAAAAAGATTGTTTATAGGGTTCTACTCTATTTGGCTTGTTTACACTTTTAATAAGAAAAAGTCCTTCATCAAGTGTTTCTGCCCAGGTCTTGATCCTCAGAACCCTGAGGAGAGATGGGGTGTGGAGGCTAGCTGGGCATGACTGCGATGTGCTAAACTGAACGCCATTTCCTCTGAAGAGTTAATTATGATCCTGCCTAAAATCCCATTCCTAACTGCACTAGGGAAAAATTAGATACACGTACAATTAGATTGCTGAAATAAATGCCTATAATAAAAATAATTCTTTCAGCTTTGTTCTGTATTACACACAGAAAATGAATTATTTTACTTTACCTTGGCTTACACCATAATCTAGGCCAAATCCCTTAAGTATTTTATATTGTTTAGTTCAAACTGAAAAAAAAAAGCGGACTCTGAAGACAGATTATCTTAGCATCATTCTGAACTTCTTTTAAGCATCCACTTGGATAGATACAGAAATGGTCTAAGAACTAGTGTCACCGTAGTAAAAAACAGATTAAAGCAAAAACTGCACACTTCTAGTATTGTTATTTCCCCCTAGGTACACGGTAAACCACATCAATAAATAAAGCAACGAACTTTTGAGCAATATACGCTTACATAGTTACAAACATACATGTAGAAAAAAGGATACAGTAGTGCAAAAAATAAATTATTAAAACAGAAAGAAGTATGAACATTATTTTACACAATGCTCTATAAAACCTGAACCATTTGGAATGAGACCTCAAGTCAGTGAAATTATACAGCAACATTATTAGTATCTTTGTTCTCACATTTCAACCACACAGTCATTGATCTATGAAAGAAAGAATATTAAAGCAAAACCACTTTAAACTTTTGGAAATTTTAATGCTAAAATCAAATTATGTTTTTCTGGGCTCTTAAATACCTCTGCTGTTTATGTAGTTACGCAGCATGTCAAGAAGCATCTTAAGACAGAAAGTTTCAAAGAGGTCACATTCTTTTGGTCTTTCTACTCAACTTCTCTCTGTGATCAACAGCAGGCTCACGCCTCTGTTTGACACTCCCTTCTATTAAGATATTATTGCAATTAGATATATTTACAAGACTCCCCCCAACGGCAGTGGGGAAGGTGGGAGCTCCTCTTCAGCAATCCACTCACTAGTTTTGGTTTCGGGATATGAAGGCCAGGACTCGTCGAATACCATTCAGTCTGTCCTTTAAGGACCTCATTGCTAGGAAGGGGAGTTGAGCTCGGCTTTCCAAGGGAAGAACCGCTAACATCCACCAGCACCAGGCTGGGCCATTCGGGTTCATCTGCAACAGAGAAATACAATGGGGTCATTCTATTCCCATCCAAGAACATCAGTCTGCAGAGTTGCAAATGCTCAAGGTCAAGACCCAGGTGGAACAACTCCATGTGGCAGATTGCTAATTGTCCCTATATCTATTTTCCCCCTTATTTTTTTTTTTTTTTTTGAGATGGAGTCTCGCTCTGTCGCCCAGGCTGGAGTGCAGTGGCGCAATCTCGGCTCACTGCAAGCTCCGCCTCCCGGGTTCACGCCATTCTCCTGCCTCAGCCTCCCGAGTAGCTGGGACTACAGGCACCCGCCCCTGCGCCCGGCTAATTTTTTCTATTTTTAGTAGAGACGGGGTTTCACCATGGTCTCGATCTCCTGACCTTGTGATCCGCCCACCTCGGCCTCCCAAAGTGCTGGGATTACAGGCGTGAGCCACCACGCCCGGCCTATTTTCCCCCTTATTTTAGCAGAGCATATAGCCACCCAGAAAAAAGACTGCATTTCTGAGCTTCCCTTGCAGCTAGGTGAGGCCATGAGACAAAGTTCTGGCTAATGAGATGTAAAGGGAAGTGATATGTGTAACCTCTTGGTCATGCTCTGGGAAAGCAGCGTATGCCCTCTGCCTTCCTCTTTCTCTCCCTTTCCCCTAGCTAGAACATGGATGTGGTGAGGATCAGCCTTCCTCAATCAAGAGGATGAGGGCAACATTCTAAGGATGGTAGAGTTTTGTGATGAAGGAGCCTGGGTCCCTGAATGCTCTCGTGGAATAGAGCTGCCCTAACTGTCCAGGACTTAGCCCCTCCATCTTGTTTAAGCTCCAGTCATTTTTGGTTCTTCTTAAAGCAAACCAACCAATATCCTAACAGATACACCATGCTTCCTAGCCAATGTGATTTTACAAGCTAGTATCTACTACGTAGTCTCTTCCATTTCTAATATTCTGTTGAGGTCCTTTGGACTGATGCATTTAACATTCAGGCCTTCAATTCCCATGACCCCTTGACCTTTGCATGTCTTTTAAGTCCCCTCATTTCTTTGATGTGGCTGAAGGCAATAGTCCAGATATACCATATCACTATACAGGGCCACAGCTCTCTTCTCCCCTGAAAACCAAAGGCTATGATTTACAGTACCAAAGAATCACAACCTCACTTTGCAAAAATTCCAATTAGAAAACATTCACATTAGAAATATATTCTGCCCCGGGGCTCATGCCTGTAATCCCAGCACTTTGGGAGGCCGGCGGGTGGATCACGAGGTCAGGAGATCGAGACCATCCTGGCTAACATGATTAAACCCCGTCTCTACTAAAAATACAAAAAATTAGCTGGGCGTGGTGGCGGGCGCCTGTAGTCCCAGCTACTCAGGAGGCTGAGGCAGGAGAATGGCGTGAACCTGCGAGGTGGAGCTTGCAGTGAGCCGAGATGTGCCACTGCACTCCAGCCTGGGTGACAGAGTGAGACTCGGTCTCAAAAAAAAAAAAAAAAAAAAAAAGAAAAAAAGAAATATATTCTGCCCCTAGATTTCCTTTTAAAATAAAGAGCTTTCCTATTCCACATAAATCCTTCCCCAAAATTCTGTTTGTAAGCAGCTTCCCTGGCACATTATTTTAGACATTGGGAACTTATTTCCTTCTAAGCCTAAAACGAGCTTTCTGCCCACAACTTTCACAAGTTTGGTTTTAGGACTACAGAGAACCATTCTGGTAAAAGTGCCTACACCTGAAATTATTTGGCTCCAAATTGGTTCCTCTGATCGTCACCACATCTCACTGCCTTCTTTGCTTCTTTGTGCCTCTAGCTTCATTTGCATTCTTTTTTGTCCCTCCCTGAAGCTGGCAACATGCTCTCCCTCCTACTATCAGTTCTGAATATTAGACTGATGTTCTGAACTTTTTTTCCAAGGATCACCAACAAAGATATTTAAGCTGGTATTAACACTTGTGGCAGTTTCTAAGAAACATCCTCCTGACAGAACATTCTTATTTGTGGGACCACTGGGGCTGCAGCATTGACTGGAGCAAACTGGGATGGGTTTGGGTTTTTCTTTTTTGCTGGTGCTGCTGCTGCCAAAGCAACATAATAACAGAACTAAGAAAAAAGGAAGTGAAAGCCAAGATTTCAACTTTCTCTGTCATTAGCCTTTATGAATCACACTGTAGCATCTGTGTTTTCCCGTTACCATTGCTGATCTATATCTTTTGCCTAAGGGAGAACGCTTCCCGGAAGGTGAAGGGGAACATTAAGCTTGATCGTGAGTTTGCTCAGAAGTATATGCTGCAGTCCTGACTCACCGTGGCCCAGAGCCAGGAGCTGGGTCACAGGAAGCACTAACTGGCCTTTCTCCCTTGAAGACTCATGATGCCTTTGCATGGGTGGGGAAGGAGCCACTTTTGTGGTCTGAGGAAAGCAAGACGTTTCAGCTCGTTAGGGAACAGACTGGTGTCTTAGAACCTCAGAATGCAAGAGGAAGAGGCGGTTTTAGACCCCTCCTCATGTCAGAGATGGGACAAAAGTTGAGAAGGGGAAAGGGATCTTCCCAAGGTTATACTGCTAGAAAGGTAAGAAGGACCAGACTTTTGGTCAGAATATGCATATTTAGATATTTCTTTTGTGACAGAGTTGAGGATGAGCATAAGTAAAGAATCAAGGCAGTTCTGTGAGTGTTGATGTAGGAGAGCTAGCTCGGAGCATAGAAGAAGATGGTGATGAGGAAGTATGTGGTTAGGATATCTCCAGCCTTATCCTAGAAAGAAAGTACTCCCTGATTTATACCAGGCAAGCAAAGCTTAGTGAAAACCATCTCCACTCTCCTAGAGAGCTTCTGATCTGCAGTTTGATCTTGCAAATAGGCCTATCCCCCAGGAAGAATACTGATCAGTAGAACCTAACAAACTACTTTCTAGTATAACTCAACCAACAGTATTTAATGATGGGGTCAGTTTTCTCAGGAGCTGTTCAGCCCTGGTGAGGACAATAGCAAGGGTCTAGACTTGCAGGGCAAAGCATAGATAGACCGAGGCATGAAAAGTTTCTGTGGTCTTGCAGTTGTAATCTTATAAGGGTAGCTGGCCCTATCCCCTAGTTCCCAAAGCAATGAAGGAGAGGGTTATGAAGTTACCTAAAAGCAGCAGCTTTTGGTCTCAGCTCCCAGGATACCTTTCTCTTTAGTCCTGGCCTTTGCACGTATCTTGTCACCCTAACATTACCATGGTGTGAATCTGGACTCCCATGGAAGGTTCTTCTGTTGGTGATATCTATGTTCCCATTCTCTTATCTTACTTAGTTCTCAAAACCTTCCTTGAATCCAAGTTCCTACTGCTTTACTTTAGTTACCCCCAATTCTAACTTGGGATCTTTTTGGTCTTACTCATGACACTATGCAGCCAAACAACACCAAATTAAATCCATCTTCCTCTCTGTATTCAATGTGCTGAATGGCAACCACATACCCATCTAATCACAAACACTAGGCACTCTCTTCTAGTGGGGCAACCCGTTTAAAGTAGACATTTTTCTATACCTGAGGATCAGCGTCTTTCTCCGGCATGGGACCAAAGTGATTGAGTATCCGATTCTTTAGGGATGATTTGAGTGAATGAAACCACAATGACGCTTGCTGATAGACACAGTTATGTAATCCCATGAGCTCAGCACAATCCTCTCCCTGAACCTGAAAGTATCAAAGTGGAAGTGAAACATTCTATACCCTCTCCATCATTCCCGGAGTCACTTTTGACACCTGACTCGCTTTGAGCATCCATTCTGCCTTTTTATGGGAAGGCTCACCCATCCAGCTTTCTCCTGTGCTTGATGTGAAATTCCCCTTAGTGAAGTGCTGGACAGTGTGTAGATACTGCTGAGCATGGAGGAAGGAGAAGGGCTCAGCTGGTAGATTAGCTGAAACAGCAAAACATGCAGAAAACCAGAGATTCAAACCAGCCTGAGTGGAGGCATGTGGTTAAATCAGGTTATGCTGGTCCATGCCTTTGCCCTTTTCATTTTTACATCTGTTTTCCCATTGCTAGCTGGAAAACACACAGGAGTATGTCAGTCTTAGCATGTAACTATCTTGGTCAAACACATTTACTTAGTCATCAGATATTTATTAATCTACCATGTAACAAATGTAAATATAAATGAACACAGGATTATTTACCTCTTCTTGCACCCATTAGCTCAGAAAACCAAGGATTAACTAGATGTGTCATCTTTCTGCCTTATGGGATGATGGATTATTGGGAAGGGCTCTTAGCCAGGTTACGTACTTTAAAATACAAATGCATGTGTGGATCTATAATTGTCTCAAAAGAAAAAAGTTTAAAATATACATAAATCGATGGATAAAATATATACATATATATAGACCCACCCCAGATCTATTCCTTGGTATCTTTGACAAAGACTTAACTCCCAAGCTGAATGAGCCCCAGGGTTGATCTAGGATAGCATTTCTTACACATGAATGCAACTCAGTAGCTAAGCAGAACCAGGACAATAGGTGCCCTCACTGCCGTACTGCAACTGGATAGCAATCCAGCAGCATTCAATGCTGCTGCAGCAATTTGGTGTGAAATCCCAAGGCCCTCAAGGGTTCTGAGAAATCCTTTCGCAATTATCTTTGTGTACCAAGTTACGAGGATAGCCTGGCTTTGGGATTCTTGGCACTGGCCACCCTCACCTTTTGGTCTTCAATGTATTCAATGTCGGCTGTGTTGTAGCCATCCCGCTGGCTCTGATGGAGCACCCTGAAGCGCCTCTTTCCTATGCTGTCAACCACTGAGCGGCCATCGGCAAAGAATTGAACATTTCTGATCTCTAGGATGCAGCCATATTCTGCAAACCTGTTTATTGAGAATGGAGTCGAGAGAATAGATCCTTGATGAGTTCTGTTTCCCTGGCCTGGCACCCAGCCATTTCTGTAACCCCATGCTGTGGCTCAAGGGACTTCTGCCTATTTTCCTGTCCCTGGGTTATAGTTTCAAGTATACAACAGGCAGTGCCTGTGTGAAGAAAAACAAATCATAATGTGTTTGTGTAACTGCTACCATTTATTGAGCACATACTATGTGCCGTGCCAGTGCTATGGTTTGAATGTTTGTCTCTACAACCCATTTTGAAATTTAATTGCTATTGTAGTATTATTAAGAGGTGGGACATTTAAGAGGTGATTAGGCCTCCACCCTCATGAGTGCATTAATGCTGATATGGTGAAAGTAGAGTAGGGTTGTTATTAATACAAAAGGGCAAGTTTGACCCCCTTCTTTCTCTCTCTCTGTTGCCCTTCTGCTATGCCCTTCCACTATGTTATGACAAAGGAAGAAGGCCCTTGCCAGATGCCAGCACATTGATCTTGGACTTCCCAGCCTCCAGAACCATGAGAAATAAATTTCGATTGTTCATAAATTATTAGTCTGTGGCATTCTGTTACAGTAGCACAAAATGGACTAAGGAAGCCAGGAACTGTACTCAGCATTTTATGTACATTATTAACTCACCAATCTTCCCAGCAAACCCAACGAGGTAGGTACAATTATTGTACCCACTTTACAGATAAGGAAACTGGGATACAGAGAGGTTAAATAGCTTGCTCAAACTCAAACTTGCTCCAAGGTTGCAACTAGATAATGAACACAGGCAGTTTGACTCCAAGGCCCACATTCTTATAAGTTTTATAACATATACCACTTGTTTAACCAAATATTAATTCTAGAGTTCTTTAAATAGACAGCCTCTCACATGGTAAACTAACCACCAAAGGGACCATGATCCTCACAAATGCTTATATTCTTCAGTTGGCTAACCTCATGAGCTAGGCCTCCCCATCTCCTAGGAGTACCCCAAAGTAAAAGAGAAATCCCTCATTACACAACCTCTTTTTGCTCGCATGGCTCCTTACTTACCCTTTGACAGGATCTCCAAGGCACATGCCAAACTGTCTCGTGCCTGTCTCAATGCATCTACGAATCATTAGGCGGTAACAAGGCTCAAAGATGTGCAGGGGACAAGGAACCGTGGGATAGGCCATAGTACACACGAAAATAGGCACATTCTTATTAAGGCTGTCAGAGAGAGCAAATGACAGGGATCTCAAAGCAATCGGACAGAACACAAAAATGTTGGTCAAATGTTAGCATGTGATACCCCTGGGGGAAGGCAAAGAGACACCAGTTTGTTTTTTGACGGTGTCACTTGCCAAAGATACATCAAGTTTTGATGGCTAATAGAAAAATATTGAAATGCAATTGATAGTGTGGGCTGAGTTCCATTATCCGATGCAGAGGTTAGCCTAAGGTCTAAGAAATTAAAATTGGCATTCTACACATTTTAATTTGGCTGAAAAAGTTCTCTAGCACCTTAATATTGTGGGTGACAGCTATAACTCATATTTTGTCTTTCTTTCTTTCACGCTCTCTACTCAAAACAATCTCTTCAGGTGTTTTTCAGGCTGCATGGGGAAGGCTGCTGATGATAGAAGTGGACTCAGCTCTCCAGAAGGGTGGTGGGAAATTCTATGTAAGGTCCCTAGGGCATCTCAAATTTGCAAGGACCCCAAAGAATCTGCAAAGTAGGCACAGCTGAAAGGAGGAAGGACCAAGAGATAGGCAAGAGTAATAATCCAGCCCAGTGATGCTCAAATGCTTCTTTGCATCAGAATCACCAGGGGCTCTTAAATCAAGATGACTTGGACACCACATTACCAGAGATACTGATGCATTAGCTCTGGAATTGGAACCCAAGGGTCTGCCTTTCTCTTTCTTCTTCTCCTTTTTTTTTTTTTTTTTTTTTTTTTAGCATAATCTTAACTCTGTCACCCAGGCTGGAGTGCAATGGTGCAATCTTGGCTCACAGCAACCTCTGCCTCCTGGGTTCCAGCAATTCTCTTGCCTCAGCCTCCCGAGTAGCTGGGATTACAGGTGCATGGCACCACGTCTGGCTAATTTTTGTAATTTTATTAGAGACGGGGTTTCACCATGTTGGCCAGGCTGGTATTGAACTCCTGACCTCAAGCAATCCACCCGCCTCTGCCTCCCAAAGTACTACGATTACAGGCATGAGCCACCATGCCCGGCCCTGCCTTTCAATAACTACTCCCAGAGAGTCACACACACAACCTGTTGGGGAACCAAAACAGAGCCAGCTCCTCTGGGATCCTTGTCTTCTTATTTGTCTAGTAAATTCAACACAGGAACATCTGAACCTAAACCTATCAAGAAATACAAGACCAACTGCCCAAATCTCAAAAGGATCAAGTTTAGGATTCATTTACATAGAAAGTCCTAATACATCTCAGTATTTGTTAATAAGACCTTAAATGAGATTTGAGATGAGGGCTCAAGAGGCTCAATGCTAATTTACAGATCAGAAATAAAGATAAAGATCCCCTGAGTAGTTCCAATGTAAATTAGCGAGAAAAAAAAATGATTTCTAGTTTCTGAGAAAAACATATTCAAAGTGAGGAGTGCATTCAAACAAGTCACTGGCAGAGTTTACGAATGTTCTCTACACAGTGGGCATGAAACCAGAACCATTTTTGCTGTCAGGAACCTTGCCTCTGGAATGCTGTTAGGATTCTACTGCGGATCGGGGGAGGGGAGGGCAGAAGCAAGACAGGCAGAAATTAGTGATTGCCTCCTGCTTTTTCTGCGAAGGGAGCTGTTCTCACAGCTAGGCGGAGGGCTGAGAGCCTCACTGACACCTCTGACCCTCCCCTTCACCTTTCACATTACCTATGCACGGCAGAGAAAGCACTTAACAAGTATTAGTATTATTACCATTAATTAAGTGCTTACTATGCACAAGGTCATTTGATTTTCATAAGAAGTTCATGAGGTGGCCAGGCATGGTGGCTCACGCCTGTAATCCTAGCACTTTGGGAGATCCAAGTGGGAGGATCATTTGAGGTCAGGAGTTCAAGACCAGCCTGTCCAACATGGTGAAGCCCTGTCTCCATTAAAAAATACAAAAATTAGCTGGGCATGGTGGTGCATGCCTGTAATCTCAGCTACTTGGGTGGCTGAGGCAGGAGAATCGCTTGAACCCAGAAGGCGGAGGTTGCAGTGAGCCAAGATCACACCACTGCACTCCAGCCTGGGTGACAGAGTGAGGCTCAATCTCAAAAAATAAGTCCATGAAGTAAGAACTCAAATTATTAAATTATTCTCAAGCTACAGATAAGGAAACTAAGGCCCAGAAAGGTTAAGTGACCTGCCTAGGGTTGTGAAGTAGACTCACTTTGAGGTAGAACTGGGTCTTAAGCCCGGTTCTGGTTGACACCAAAGTTCTTAACTTCATAGCAACTCCTTATGTATCTGAAAACAATCTTTTGGCCATTTCGTTAAGTTCCCCTGATTAAGCTACTCCAATTTACTCTCGCCAACAAATACCCTGTTACTGGGGGCAGGGTGTACCCTCATCACTGGTTTCGCTTATGCTTCTTCAGTGGTATGCTGGTATGTTTAACAACTGGCTCTCTGGGTGCAGGGGAAGCCATGGTTTGTAGCACTTGCCAATTTCCATGGTGTAAATATTCTCACCATAGCCAATTTCAAGCAGCTGGCAGGACATCACTAAGTCGGAAGCTGGGAACTAATGTGCACATTCAGCTCTCATGAGCTGGTATGAGGGAAACAAAACAGAAATATGCATATACATACTTAGAAAGTTCTTCCATTTCCTCTTCGTAAAGCTTCCTTCGTTCCTTCAGTTCTTCTGGAAGGAATTTAGCTATGAGCTCCTCCATTATTACATTTTTGCTGTATTTTCTTGATGCCAAGCACTATATGGGGGGAGGCAATTAGATAATATGCAGTTAGGTAATATGCAGTCATCAGCAAAACACTTCTGATGTAATCACTGGACAAGTCACATGACCCACATATTGGAGTAGTCTGGACCCACAAATCAGCAGATGATACCATCATAATATATGTATTTTCTGGATGTTAGTTTCATTTAAAAAACCACACATGCAATTGATTATCTTTATAATTAGAATAAAAATATTTTAACAAGGGGGTAAAACCTGCATTGAAGTTTTAAAACTCTCACAATTTTTCTGAAATACTGAAATCAAGATCATGTTCTTGTCCAAAAAGTGGTGTGGGGGGAATCCTTCCCTTTCCATTTCCTGTTGATCATGTTTACAAGCACACAGAAATGGTCTCCATCTGGGATATGCTCAAAGTTAGTGGCCAAAAGGTTCAGGGAACTAAAAAGCATTTTTCAATCACTGATCCTTTCCTGCCCTGTCCCACTCCCAGCCTAACCCAATGCTTGGGCTTCTGGATATTGCCAAATCTACCTATTTTTTCTCTTTTAATTTTAGTTTTAAAAAACACAAACAGCTAAATATTGATTTGTCTATTTGCCTTTCTAATATACCATCTAGGTATCACTGAGATTAAAAGTCATGATTTCAAGAACTGGACTCAGGCTCAATTGTCACTGTTACTCTTCTCCCAAACACCTCTGACCGATGCACATCCAGGGATGTTTAAGTAGTGGGTATTTAACGGTGTGAATCAAACAACTGATGTTAAAACATCTGCGGAGAATTGCTTGCTATGGAAACTACCCCTACAGTCCCAGCAAGGAGAGCGCCTGAGTATAAAACTGTTGGCTTCAAACAATTTTGTTCCTTTCTCAGTATGGGCTGTGTCTCTATTCTGCAGTGAACATGATTGGAATATTTAATCCTATGTAAAATAGTGCAAGTGTGACCCTATGTGAATACACAGAGATAGATGAGAATATCTTCTAGACCCCAAGTCCTGAACCGTATAGCATCTGTCTCCAGGATGCCTTATCTGCCACTGTCACTGCCATTGCCTGGCTATGGGAAAATCAACTGCACTTCCCAGTCCCAGTTTTGGGGGATAAGCAGTGATTGAGGAGGTAGTCGGTCCAAAAAGTAGGTGACTCCTCTGCTGATGCTAAAACAAAAAGCCAGAAAAGGCACATACTAAAATGTTAACTAACAGTGATTTTCTCTAGGTACTGAGCATATGGGTAGATTTTTCTTCTTTCCACTTAATCTGAATTTTCCAGTGTTACAACACAGATGTATTATTTAAGTATAAGGATTATGGACTTCTCACCTACAATCAGGCCTGCAAATCCTACAACTTTTATCTAGGGAAAGGTATGACATTGGCCCTCATCCCAATCCCAACACATACCCTGAGGGCTACCAGCGATGATTATTTCACTCTATTCCCTTAATTTAAATACTGGGGTGATGGTAAAGCTCAACATGTGACTTCTCTTGACCTGTAGTCACCTAGAGATAGCCTTGCATCTCCAACCTCTCCTCAGGAATGACAGGGGTCAAGGAATATTAACACCAATCATAAAATGTGGCACATAAGTCTCTGAGGGAGGGAAAACAAGATGGATTCTCAGGTCTTCTTTTTCTATAGGAAATTCCTTCAGGTTCACTTGAAAAACAAAGGTGGGAGTCTGTGTGATTAGTTTTAGAGAACCTGGAAGTCCTAAAGGGCTGCTGTCTGCTAAATTGGCTTACTGCAAAAGCTCTAGGGCTTCCAGGTACAGTGGCTCCTGAGGGGTTGGACAAGGATCACTCTGAAGTTCTGTGAGGTTCTCCTGGGGCCTTTGGAGCTGTTATCTTCAAGCCACAGAATAAACATTGATGATAAGGGAACATCAGGGCTTACCTAGTCCAATCCTAGAGGGGACAAAAGATTTACTCAAGATCACAGTATATCAGGTGCCATGATGAGATCAGAACCAGGATCCAAGTTTATCATCTATTTAACACTTTTGTTTCCAACACAAATTGATTTCCCTACTTACACGACATAAAAAACTGCATGTTGCCTCATTTTCCTGAAGGACTTTATGGAGATGGGAACAGTGGCTATAAGACAGGAGAAATAGGCTGGGCACGGTGGCTCACGCCTGTAATCCCAGTACTTTGGGAGACTGAGGTGGGTGGATCACCTGAAGTCAGGAGTTCGAGACCAGCCTGACCAATATGGTGAAACCCCATTTCTATTAAAAATACAAAACTTAGACCAGGCGCGGTGGCTCACATCTGTAATCCCAGTACTTTGGGAGGCCGAGGCAGGCGGATCACGAGGTCAGGAGATCGAGACCAGCCTGGCTAACACGGTGAAACCCCATCTCCACTAAAAATACAAAAAAATTAGCCAGGCATGGTGGCAGGCGCCTGTAGTCCCAGTTACTTGGGAGACTGAGGCAGGAGAATGGCGTGAACCCGGGAGGGGGAGTTTGCAGTGAGCGAAGATTGCGCCACTGCACTCCAGCCTGGGTGACAGAGCAAGACTCTGTTTCAAAAAAAAAAAAAAATTAGCTGAGCGTGGTGGCATGTGCCTGTAATCCCAGCTCCTTGGGAGGCTGAGGCAGGAGAATTGCTGGAACCCAGAAGGTGGAGGTTGCAGTGACCCGAGATCGCGCCACTGCACTCCAGCCTGGGTGACAGAGTGGAGACTCCATCTAAAAAAAAAAAAAAAAAAGACAGGAGAAATAGATGGTTTGAGGGAGTAATGTGCCCTACCACAGTGCAGTGGCTTGGGGTCCAGTTGAACACTGTCTTAGTGCCCAATTCCAAATAAGCTAAACCTAACAAGAAAGAAATACTGATTTAAACCAAACAAAGAAATATTGATTTACCTGTGAAAGACCGTCTTTGCACAATGGACACTTGGCGTTGTGATCTAGGCATCTTTCTAGGCATTTTAAGCAAAAAGTATGCCCACAAGGTGTTGTGACTGGCTCATAGAATAATCTGAAATTTAGGAATCAAAATGGAAGAAAACTTCAGTAAGACCAAAAATAAAAGAGCAACTCAAAGCTAAGGTTTTAAAGCATTATTTAGACTATTTTAGGGTGGGGGAGGAGTTCTTTTTTAAAAGTCGCTATTGTTGCACTTCAGATAAACATTTGCCTTTCGTTTTCGAGCTGGATTAAAATACATTTATTAAAGTTTAGGGCATAGCTAGATCATTTTGTAACATCAATTCTAGTCTATCTCTTCTGGGGAATTCAGATTTTTTGCCCTGTCTGGTCCAAGAAAAATAGAGATTAATGCACAGAGTGTCTGGATAAAATTCTATTCTGAAAATATTAGCCAACCTGTTCACCTGAGTATATGTAAACACACACAGACACACACAGACACGCAGACACACACACTCTCTCTCTCTTACACATTTACCCACTTAAGCACTTTACATCATATTACCATGGAAAAAAACTTTGTTTGCTAACCTTGATTCCTCTTTTCGTCTAAGCAATGTCAATGCCTGAAGGATATCAAAACTGTACCTCTAACAAACATAACTGCCTTTTATATAGATAGATAATTTTCATAGGGGGAGAATAGTATTGTTAGTGTGCTTACTGATATAGACCAGATATGGATCTATATTGATGCATATACACATATACATACATTTACATGTGTACATACATATGTATACATACATATACTTCAATTTGGTACTATTTTAATTGCTTGGGGAGAGTAGGATATTTTCAAAGCAATGTGGGAATCCTTTTATAAAGCTGTTCTGTACCTTCAGAAATTCATGGATTTGCTTTGCTTAAAAAAAGGCTCACCTGCAGCGAGATCAGTGAGTGAGGGTAGTTGAAGATGACCGTTGAGGAGTGGGGCTTGCATTCACCAAGAGGAGAAGCACAGGAAGAATGGAAAGACCCCTCCCTGCCTGACCAGCCTATTTTCACCTCACAAGAGTGTTCAGTGGAAAGTCAGAGGCTGCCAGCTGTACGGCTCCCTCGTGTGGCCAGGAGGTGCACCAGCAGCCTGGCCAGCACTGCCAGGCTGAGTAGAAGAATCAACATGCCAGCTGAAAAGTACTTGTGAAGAAATTGAACCCACTAACTAGAATGAACCTGAGGTCCAGAAAGGTGGAAGTTACTTGTCTAAGTGTGCACAGCCAACTGTTGACAGATGAGAGTCTATTCAACTTCCACTTCCAGTCATGTGCCTTTTCTATTACAAGGATAATTCTCAACCATTGCTGTGCATCAGAATCACCTGGACAGCTTTATCTTTAAACTGCTTTATTGGTGCAAAATTGATATATAATAAATGGAACAGACTTAAAGTGTACAATTTGATAAGTTCTGACATATGTACACACTTATGAAACCATCGCCACGATCAAGATAGGAAACATACCCATCACTCCCAAATGTTTCCTCTCGCCCCTTTGTAAGCCCTCCTTCCTGCCTCCCCAAATCACCTGGGGAGCTTATGGAAACTCTAGATGCCCACTACAGCATCTACAGAGATTCAGATCAGTAGACCCAGTGTACAGGACAGGCATCAAGACTTTTTTTAAAGCCTCCTGGTGATTTTAATGTACAGCCAAGGTTGAGGATCACTGTGTTACACAAATCCCATTAATCTCTGCATAGGCAAACTTTCTGTATTGGTCTTCAAATATCAGTTACGTGTGGAGCAAAAAAAAAAAAAAAAAAAAAAAAAAAAAAATACATCGTGAAGCTCCACTGGCTAAAGTTCCAGATTCAGCACGTCAAGGGGACTAGAAAAAATGGGATATTTTTAACAAGCCAATGGAGGTCTGGAGTAGGAGAGAGACTTTTCATATATTCATCTTTTTGGTACTTTTTGAATTTTTTGATTCTGTTTAAAAAGTAGTTAATTGGTTTAACAAATTAATTAAAATTAATAAATTTTAGTTATCCAATTGGCCAAAAAGCAAAGTTATTTTTTTAAAAAAACTATTTACTATGGAGGTCTCCGTGCACTAAGGCAAGAACAAAATATGAGAACTGGAAAGGAAAAAATCAAATCTGTCATTATTCACAAATGATATGGTGAACTTAGAAAAATCTAAAAGAATCTACAAATGATTATTAGAATAAGAATAGAATTAACAAAGTTACTAGATAAATACACACACACACATACAATTATACTTCTATATACCAGCAATAGACATTAGAAATGTTATCATCTTAAAGATAACATTTACAACTACTTTTAAAAATCAAGTGTCCAGGAAGAAATCTAACAACAGTTATAGGAGACCTCTTTTGGAAAAAGCTACAAACTCCTCATTGAAAGAAAGTAAACAGCTAAGTCCCAATAAAAAACCTCAATGGGTTATTTCATTGGTTTATTTTTGTAGAACTTGACAAGTTGATTTCTAAACTTTATAAGGAAAAGCAAAGGGCCAAGATACATCTGAAGAGCAATGATGTGGGAGGACTCACTCTACCAGATAACAGAACATATAAAGCTGTGGTGATTAAAACCGTATATGACTAGCACAAGGACAAACAGACTCAGGGAATAGAATAGGAAGCCCAGAAACAGATCCAGATGTGGATTCTTGATTTATGACAAATGTGTCACTTCAAAGCAGATGGGGGAAAGATTTTCAGTACATAAATAGCCTTCTCAATAAATGGTATTAGGAGAGTTGGCTATCTATAGGGGGAAATGAAATTGGATCATCTCTCATATCATTCGCAAAAACCAATTCCATGTGGGCTGTAAAAATAAATGTGAAAAGCAAAACAATAAAACATTCAGAAGATGAAATAGCCAGGCACAGTGGCTGGCACCTCTAATCCCAGCTACTTGTTGGGGGGTGCTGAGGTAAGAGGATCGCCTGAGACAAGGAGTTTGACACCCCATGTCTTAAATAAATTAGTCAAATAAAAGAAAATAAAGATAAAAGAGGAGAATATCTTTATGACCTGAAGGTAAAAAAATGAATTATGACACAAACCCTGCCTATAAATGAAAAGATGGATAATTTTGACTGTATTAAAATGAAGCGCTTTTGGCTGAGTGCAGTGGCTCACACCTGTAATCCCAGCACTGTGAGGCCGAGGTGGGCGGATCATCTGGGGTCAGGAGTTCAAGACCAGCCTGGCCAACATGGCAAAACCCCACAGACTGTGGTGGCGCGTGCCTGTGATCCTAGCTACGGGGGAGGCTGAGACAGGAGAATCGCTTGAACCCAGGAGGTGGAGGTTGCAGTGGGCCGAGATTGCACCACTGCACTCCAGCCTGGACGACAAAGTGAGACTCCATCTCAAAATAAAAAAGAAGAGGAAACGCTTTTAAGTTCATCAAAAATGTCATTAAGAGGGCAAAAAGGCAAGCCAGAGTAGGAGAAAGTATCTGCAACACATAACGACTAGCAAAGAACTTGTATCTAGAGCATACATAGAGCCCCTAGAAGTCAATAAGAAAAAGAGAAGGAAGCCAACAGAAAATGAACAAACACTTATATGCACCAGCAGATGTAAACAATGTTTATAGCAATGTTGCCCATGATATCCCCTAACTAGATGCAACCCAAACATCCATCCATAAGAGAACTGGTGGATTCATACAATGGAATATTATACAATAATGAAAATGAACAAACTTCACCTACATGCAATAACATGGATAAATCCTAATACTGAGTAACACAAGCCAGATTGAAAGAATAAATTCTGGATAATTCAGTTTATGCAAAGCTTTTACGTAGGCAAAACTAGATTGCATCACCTAGATATGCATATACGGGTAGTAAAGCTATAAAGAGAAACAGGATAAAAGTCAAGATAGTGGTTGGGGTAGGGAGGATACCTACCTCCCTAGGGGTATCCTCTATGATTGGGAAGAGGCATATGGGCAGCTTCTTGGGTCCTGGCAATGTTTTACTTCTTGAACTGAGAGGGGTTACATAAGTATCTTCTCTACAATATTTTGTTAAGAGAACATATTTATATTTTATGCACTTTTCCACTGTGTGTATTTCACAATTTAAAATATTTTTCAAAAGTGTGATTTGGAACCACTGCTGTGATCTAATTATCAGAGCAGCCAAACCAAAATATCTCATTTCCTTGGTAACTTAGTCCTGTGAATCTGAATGCCTTATATTATTCGATGGTACTAATGATGATGATTGATGAATCTGTATCTACAACTAATATGCAAAACTGTTTTTCCTGAGAATTTCCCAATTGGGCCTATTATTCATTTAAGAATGTAACCTAATGCAATCTATCTAAAATAACGAAGATATAGCTGGCTAATTAATTGCAATAAATACTGACATTTAGTGAACAGATGAATAAAACACACACAAAAGGACACAGCAATCTCTTAGCAAAAGCTGTGATTAAAATGCCCCTGACTGAGTAGTAGCAAACACAAATGCGGCCACAGATGCTGCATAATTATTGCTTTGAAATAGTTCAAGGTTCAGATGCTTAGAATACATTACACTTTTCAATACTCAATTCATTTCTATATTTAGGGCTACTCTGCTGCTCTGCACGGCCTGACTAAAATGACTGGAACAGATGGAATCTATTTCTCTGGCTATATTTCTTGGTGTGTCAATACTGAACTTTGTATATTAAGAGGTGGTAATTATGATTAGCTTCATTATACTATTGAGAAAATTTAAACCCAGACAGGTTAAAATAACTTGCTTAAGATCACACAGCTAGCTGGTAAGTAGCAGGGCTTTGGGATGTGAGGTCAGATCTGACTCCCAAGCCCATCCTTCTTCCTCACTCTATGATGTGACAGCAACTATGTGCATGTATTTCTGCATCCAAATAGACGTCATCCGTCTACATGTAGATGCACACACTCATATGCACACTTTTCTCCCTCCCTCTCTCCTCTGTCCCTCCTTCTGAGAAAGAGAGAGACAGACGGAGAGAGAGAGAACTTGATTAGAATTCTTTTTATTTACCACTTTAGGTAACGATTTCAGAAAA